GTCATCTTTTTATTTTTGACTATCTGTAAATTTAGTTTCCTGCTCTTAATTGTGAATGCATACTTGATGGTTTTAAATGCTGCTGAAATTAAGTGTTGCTTGACGAGCCTGTACAGTATTGCGTTCATGTATGTGACGTCACTGAAGGCCTAAGGTTGAAATGCACGGCCCGCCTCATAAAGCAGTGCGTCTTTTAGTGCGGAAAATAAGGTACTAAACATCCATCCATTTTCCGATCTGCTTATCCTCACAAGGGTCGCGGGGGGTGCTGGAGCCTACCCCAGCCATCTTCGGGAAGTAGGCGGGGGGACACCCCGAACCGGTTGCCAGCCAACTGCAGGGCACATATCAACGAACAACCGTTCGCGCTCACACTCACACCTCGGGACAATTTAGAGTGTTCAATTAACCTGCCGTGCATGTTTTCGGTATGTGGGAGGAAACCGGAGTAAAACCCACGCAGGTATGGGGTGCGTAAAAATACGGAAACGCAAAATCGGAAGACTGGTACCGGAATCGAAGTCTGCACCTTTGCACTGTGAGGTCGACATGCTAACCAGTCGACCACCGTGCCACAATTAATAAGCTGTAATCACTTGTGGTTTAACGGTATTAAAATGTTATCGCTCACATTTTTATCACTAACTCTCTTTCTGATTAAGACATCTGTCTTTGATCATTGTTCGTTACTTTTAATTCACAAGACAGATGTGTGTCAGTCCAGAACGCATGTGAGGATGGTGACAGGCAGCTGTCTTGTCAAGCTGCTGCAACAACCTCTCCAAATAACTTGACAAACAGCAGGTATGTGTGTGCGTTTGTGAACGATTACCATCGAAAAAAGGGTTCTGGTTAAAGGTGCCAGAGGCTGAACGGCAAAACTGGGACCAATTGGTGTGTAACTGATAAATGTTGCAACTTAGAAGTGGGTCATTTGGTCAACATCAGGTCTGACATTTGAATCTGATTCATTTGTTATGATTCAAGGTTTCCAAATTAATTCCAAGCATTCACGCTATAGCATATATAGGCATCCCTCTTCCTGCTATGACTACTCATGTGATTTTTACTACGCACCATCATGAGCTTCCTGTCGTGTCCCTGGATCTGAGTTCTCTTTGACATCTTTCGGACCTTCGGTTGAGGTGGCTGCACGTCCTCTTCCTATTGAAATACTCACAGTCAGAAATTAGAAAACGTATTTTTACACTGACATGAAAGTAAAAGAAAATATGCTGATACACAAAGACATGCACACTGTAGTGGACAGAAAGACAGAGAAAGAAAGGAATAAATGGAAGGGGATGACTTTAAAAACATCTTAATTTACATACCAGTGACAACAGAGTCCAGTAATTGCGAGACTGTCTCACGATCCCTCGCAAACTAAAATGATATGATACGCACAATTCAAAACAAATTTAACCCAACTTTTCATTCATGAAATATGTCTATGAATCTGGAAATGTTCAACATTATTAACTGATAAAAAATGTTAAAGGGTAAAATAATTGTCCTGACTGAACCGAGACTAAAATATTGAGTTTTTGCTGACTAAAAGTAGACGAATAAAATTGTTCTGTTGGATAAGGCCAAACAAAAAAGATAGTGTGTTTCCGGTAACATGAAATTTCAGCATAGGGTTGGTAGGTCGGACAAAGTTTTTTTTTTTTTTTATCTTTTTTTTCCCCCCCATCAAAAATTTAAACAAAATAACCATAAAACATAAAACAAGAAGACATTCAACCCGCTGCTCGTCCTCCTCCGCCCTCGGTTTTTACTCAGCCCGTGGTGTTCATCAAATAGTTCGATGAATTTTTTCGACACATCAATGGATGCTATTTTCTTCGTCGCGAGCATGCGACTGTAACACAGAATATGCGGTTTAAACTGTCGGAGATCGCGGCCGCCGCCATGTTTCAATGTTGTTGACAGACGACAGGGCAAACGACGACGCGCTCAACGTGAATATCGCGAGAGTTTGCATCGATGTAAACCCTCTACACAAAAATGTAGAGGGTTGTTTGAAAAAAATGCCGACCGTAAAGTTTTTTTTCGACGTAGAAATTCTCGGTCGGTCGGGTTACCGGAAACACACTACTTTTTTTTCTTCGCCTAAAATTAAAGACTAAAATGCTCGACTCATAGTCAACTAAAACTTGACAAAATAAAACGGAATGAGGCTGACTACATATGATTTAAAAAAATAAGCGTGATTGAAATTGGGCTCAAAACTGACACCATGTAAAAATGGCTGATTAAAATTAACACTACTTCCAACATTTTTGATGTATTTACAAATGCACAGAAATTACTTTAAAAGGTCTTTAATATGGAACAAAATGGCTTATTTCCAACTCATGCCTGGCTGCAAGAAATTTTAAACATCGTGAAAATATTATAGTAATAAATAAAATGCTACAGATTAGTATTTGAACCTGTGATGATAAAACTCATGTTGGATACACGCTTCGGATGGTCTGTGAAATTAAGCAACTGGCATTAAAACACAGTAAGACAGCTCGCGTTGCCCTGCAATCCGCATCATTCATTCGTTCTTTAATAAAAAAAAAATAAAATAAAAAAAAAAAAAACATTTTTCTCGAGAAAAAATGGCTTCTGGCTAGACTAAGCCAGCCTAGTTTAGTATACAGTAATAGAGTGAGCCGTAGCACTGGTTCATGTGTCTACTCATTTCAATTCGGTCGGTAAACTAACAATTTCTGTCTGATTTTTGCTGAAATATAAACCACATAAATACAATTTGATGCGGCCTTGCCGTAACCGCCTGAGCGCAGGCCATATGCGCAATGTTGCTAAATGGCTGCGTTCTCTTTTTAGTTCGCCATCGTTTCTTCGTGTCGAAAAAAAACCTTTGTTGATGAAAAACTTCCATCACTCCTTTCATTAACCAAATCCACACGGTCAAGGTCATTAGATTTCATGAGTCTACATAAAGCAGCTTTATTAAACTCGTTTTAGGGCCCATCGCTAACGGACACCTAGCCTGCCGCTAGTGACAAGTCCGTTGGCGTTCAGTACGGAGTAGTGATGGGAATTCCGGCTCCTTTTCAAGAGCCGGTTCTTTTGGCTCGGCTCACTAAAAAGAGCCGGCTCTTTCGGCTCCCAAATGGCTCCTCAGTTTTTTTGTTGCTTAAATTAATTTACTTCCAAAAATCATGTAAAATTATGTGTAAAATGAATTACTAATGTAAAAAAATATACA